TAGGTTTTAAATTTTTGGTTACTTTGGTCATGATTTGGGTTTAATGAGAACTTGACTCATTCATAGATAGAGCACAGCCTCCTAATCAATGAGCTATGCAGTTGTCTCAGTCCTGTTAATTAACCCTAAGCCGTGACATAGGGCTCCTTATGTGGCCTTGACAATGCACACCAAAAGCATTAACAGGGACACCATCCATGTGCAACATGGCACTGTTAATACTCTGATATTTTGCAGCTGTTGATGGAATCAGCCTCTCTGAGAGCTACCACAGAGTTCGGGAAACCTTACTACCAGCCGGCCTCAGAACCATTTAACTGAGTTTTAGAGCTGTACCCTCATATGGAGATAACAGGAAGAGTTGCATAGCCATTATCATAGAGGCATAAGCAAAATTCTATGAGTAGAGTCAAGGAGATCCAGCATTCATCATCCTAGGCAGGAAACAATGTAACACAGGTTACATCTACGCCAGCCTAATAGATGAAGAAGGGGTTCGAGGCTGGTTAGCAGAATTTTTCTGCTTACCCCTAAAGTCTTTGCCTAGGAGGCCTTCTACAAGACAGTAGCAGGATGCAGTTAACATCTGCCCAAGATGAGTATTTTTATCGAGACACCATCTCTAGCCTTTACTCAACCAAGAGCCCCAAGGCAGGGGAATTTTTAGTCGGAGTTTATTTCTCCTAGCCTTTGCATAAGAAGAGCACACTCTGCAAGGCAGCAGGGCTTGTGGCAGGTGGTACTGGGTTATGTGATACCAGTAGCAAGATTGATCTCGATTATCCTGACCTGACCTGGAGTAGTTAAAAGGAGTTACTTCCCGCAACAGTACTTTGAGAAAACCAGGCATGACATTTTGGAAGTGCATTAGGAAAAACACTGCATCTAACAAAATACAGGAGTCTAAGGTGAGTGTACGTTTTGTAGTTGGAGTAAGTAGTTAGTTACTGAGCTCACGCTGCATTAGAGTATAAACAGAACACAAACAAACATAAATCAACTTACGGGTGAGTCAACACCGCGCCAGAGGTTCAGACAGAACACAAACATACATAAAAAACATAAAGTAACTTACGGGTAAGCAAACACCGCGCCAGAGGTTCAGACAGAACACAAACATACATAAAAAAAAAACATAAAAAACGTAAACATAAACATAAAGTAACTTACGGGTGAGCGAACACCGCGCCAGAGGTTCAGACAGAACACAAACATACATAAAAAAACATCAAAAACATAAACATAAACATAAACATAAAGTAACTTACGGGTGAGCGAACACCGCGCCAGAGGTTCAGACAGAACACAGACATACATAAAGAACATAAAGTAACTTACGGGTGAGCGAACACCGCGCCAGAGGTTCAGACAGAACACAAACATACATATAACGTAGATTACAGGTGAGCTAATACAGTAATTAAGGCACCTCCAACTATATGGGGAAAGAAAAAAAAAAAGAAAAAAAAAAAAAAAAAAAAAATTGCTATAGGCATGACTGATATAAGATAGTACTGATGACAGGAAGAACACTCCTTCCAGCCTTTGCTTAGATAGCAAATCCTGCAAGGCAGCAGAACATGGAACAGGTTGCACTGGGTTACATGTTACCAGTAGCAGGATGATCATGAAGACCATACTCCTGACCTGACATTAGTAAACTTCATCAGTAAACTGCCGTGTTGCCTAAGGTTAGCCCACTATTTCTGGATTTTTTTTTTTTTTTGATTGGCAGTTATGTACAAATATTTTTAAAACATTTAAAAAATTTTTTTTACATTTTTTTTTAAATAAATTTTAATAAATAAATAAACAAGTCAAAATATAATACAACAAATAAAACAACAATCAAAAAAGTAACAACCTAAATCACATGAAAACACTTTTAACATTAGGAATTAAAAGAAATTCTGAAAAATTCAGAAACTCAGAAATTCAAAATTTTTATTTGAATAAAAACTTTAATTTTTTATCTCCTTTGGATGCAAATATTTCAATAACATTAAATAGACATTAAAGTAAGTCCATTCAATCTAATTTCTGACATAGTACTCACGTGTAAGTTTTGATTCTCCTGAGAGTAGATATTGACCTTTCACACTAACAAGTTGTGATTGGTATTGAAGCAAGTATATGAAATGCCTCTAAAATGTTTGGAAAGCCTCTCATATCCCTAAACTTAAATGTATCTGAAATAGTAGATGGTAATTCTGTCTTTTCATTCCAAAATTTCCACCCATAACTCTAATTCTAATTCAGCATTAATTGATGAGAAATGAGGAAGATCAGATTTACAAAAATTCAAAAATATCAGGAACTTTTCTTTTCATGGTCAATATCTAAAAATTTACTTTATTAAACTAGCAGGAATAGCACAAAGACCATTATAAACAACTTACGAGTAAACCAACAACGCGCTAGAGATTGAGACAAAACACAAACATACATTTATAGTCAATTACAGGTGAGCTAACACAACAACTAAGGCATCTTTAACTATGTAAAAGACAGACACAAAAATAGATAAATAAATACACTACTATAGGTATGACTGATATTTAATGGTAACGATGATAGGAAGCACATTCTTCCAGCCTATGCTTAGAAAACAAATCCTAAGGCTGTAGAACATGGAACAAGTTGTACTGGGTTACATATTACCAGTAGCAAGGTGATCATGGGTGTCCATACACCTGACCTGACAATTAAATTATATATACAATTTCTATAGACTTGCCTGCTTGTCAGAATGGATGGTAAAATATGGTGAATGTGTAATATATTACACATTCACCATATTATATATATATATATATATATATATATATATATATATATATATATATATATATATATATATATATATATATATATATATATATATATATATCCCATTCATACAGACGGGGGAAATAAACGAGAAGCGTAAGTAATATATTTACAATAACCCGTTTATACTAATGATAAAACATGTTTTATTTAAAAAAATAGTATTTAACTGTTATTGTATATCAATTAAATAGCAACAATAACATCAAAAAAATACTGTAAGATTATTTTATCAAAATAAAAAACATGAGTAAATAAAAGGCAATTTTTTCATGTTGTTTTACTGCTATTAGTTTATAACATAGTTCAACCACAGTTACATCAATGGCTGGTTAGCTCAGTTAGTGAAAAAAATGAAGTGTTAAAATAGGGAGGTATATCTATAGTTAAGCGGCCTTAAACAATTATATTTTTATGCATATTACGCTCTCGTCAGTGGAACTGAAAGGAATACTTATTGGCTCTTCAGTATACTGATGATGTATATATATACATCAAAATGTTTGTAACATCGATTGAGGGTTTGGTATGGGGCAGCAATCTTTTTTCTTTCATTATTTTAATTATGATAAAAAAGATTGTTGTCCTGTACCAAACCTATAATCAATGTTTAACGCAAGGGTATCGTTGTGGTTAAATTATTAACGCAGCCGTGGCGCAGTGGTTACAGTTCTGACTCAGCACCCATAAGTCTAAAGTTCAACGCTGGATCTAGCCCAATAAGCGAGATTGGTAAAGAAGGATATGTGAACTTCCAATTTACATGCTCTTCCGCAGTGCTCTGTAATAAGACCGTTAGGATTTCTGGGAGTACCTTTAAAAAAAAAGAAAACGCTTATTCAATATAGCAGCTCTCCCTTGCAGTAGGAAATAATATAGACGATGTATGTACTGAAAACAATAAACGCTTTTTTATCGTTAAAAGGTCTTCACGGACGAGAAAGTACGGCGTAATGAGCAAAAAATATATATTTTTGATTTAAGTGCCCCAAAAAGTCATTATGGTTTTATCACAAAGCATCGCGAAAAAAGGTAATTATTTGAGGCCACTTAACTATAGATTTATCAAAAGAGATTAGTGCTAAAGATGGTTAAAAGGGAACTAATATACGAATTCAAATCCAGGCACCGCTAACTTACTTGAAAAATGTTGATCGATAACGGACCGCAAAATGCTGGTTAATAACGGACGCTTATTGGGATTAGTAATCTTTACGACTAACCCAAGTTAGTCTTTACGAGTTTTAGGTTAAGTTAGTCTTTATGACCTCTAACCCAAACTATTTGTTGCTGATCCTATGCTAAAGCCAACAATGTCTTCTGATAAAAGAACATTGTATAGCAAGATGATGAAATTCAAATAAAATACAAACGTGAAACTCGAAAACAAAAACAGGTTTTATCGTCAGTGTAGACGCATTCAACTTGAATTTCAAGTCAATCTTCGTGACTTTGTTATAAGTTTATTTAAATGAAAGAATATAATACTAAGAGATATGAAAAGATTTATAAACGCCAGCAGCTCAGAAAATTGATTCACACAATAGCTAATTTGTGATGCGAATCAGTTTTTTAGGCTACTTGCATTTGTTATTCTTGTTTTTAAAATTTTACTTTTTTTTCCATTTATATTAATGTAAAATTAAAGGTATAAAATTTATAAACATATTTGCAGTATATTTATTTGATTATTCTGTTTGCATTAAAATTAGTTTTTGAAAATCTACAATGTATGCTATTACTCAGTTCACATTTATTTATATATATATATATATATATATATATATATATATATATATATATATATATATATATATATATATATATATATATATATATATATATATAAATAAATTATATATATATATATATAAATAAATTATATATATATATATATATATATATATATATATATATATATATATATATATATATATATATATATATATATATATATATATGTATATATATATATATATATATATATATGTGTATATATATATGTATGTATATATATATATATATATATATATATATATATATATATATATATATATATATATATATATATATATATATATATATATATATATATATATATATATATATGTATATAATTTTTATTGGATAATGTATTTAAAATAAATGCTATTAATTTACATATAATTTATGTTATACAATATGTTACTAGCTAGTATGGTTAAAAAAACATTTAAAAGATTATCAAGAGCTGTTAAGCCGGTGAACTACAAAATATCTCTAAAACCTGATCTTACAAACTTTGTTTTTGTTGGAGATGAAATTATTAATGTTGAGGTATTTATTCTTAAAATATATAGTAACCTATATATATATATATAGTAAATTTTATTGAGACAGTAAATGTTTAATATTGAAATTCGTCCTCATAGTAACTTTTACCTAATTGAATTTCTCCAAGAAAATTTGTTTAGCTGTATTGAAAAGTAAATAGCAGGGTTAAATTGTTTTAAATCTATTTTCACTGTTTTATTTTTATTTTTAATGTTTGACATATGCTTCTGCTAGTAGTTGTTAAAAAAAAATAAGTAAAAATAAGTAGTAATAATTTAAAGCATATAGCTAATAACTATAGCAATGCATTATACAACTAAATGCTAAAACATATTTTATTTTAGTTTTTACATTATAATTTCAATATATATAATTTATTTTTTGCTAGAATATGTAATGCTATTTATGACATAAAGAGCATTACATGTTCTAGCAAAAAATATAAATTATGTTTGTGCTCACAAAAGTATATATATTCCTATAGTTTGACATATAAATTTATTGTTAGTGCTTAAAAACAGTTCTTAATGACTCTTTGTGTTTGCAGAAGTAAAACGTACGATCTTTGTAAAAACTATTAAATTTAATTAGGGAAGCTAAATTAAATTTATTGCTTTAAAAAACCACAAAAGCACAAATTAATAGACTTTGATGTTTTTATTATTTTTAAGTATAAGCATTCTGAAAAATTTAATTTCTCCATGTAAATGGTGTAAAAGCGGCATTAGGATTCTATTAAAACATATTTACTCAATTGGGAATTTTGGATCGACCAGAAAACAACAAGACAAATGCGATAGTGGTGTAATGGTAGAGCACCCATAAGCGAGACATTCTGAGTTCAATCACTATCACGTCCCTGGTAATACTTCATTCAGTTTGTTTTCCTGTCCAGTAATCTTATTCGTCAAGGTTTGTGTTTCAAAGTTATAGATTTCAGAGAGGCTTGTAACCACAATTAAAGTAACCTCTTTGACTGTATTGGCTTTCTCTGACTTGCGGAGGTAAATTAGCTTAAAAAAAAAAAAATTAAAAATTGATTTAAGGATGGTGATAAACAAATTGGCAAATGAGCTTGCAACAATAATGTAGTTTTCTTACAAGAAACACAATGAGAAATTTATTTTATTTATCTATCTTGTCATTAAACTAACTTCCACTTAACCTTCTTTCTTACAAAAAATCAATCAATAATTTATATTGTATTGCAAACTTCAAATATTCATATATTAAACATTTTGATTACTAATTAAAAACTATGGTAGTAGCAAACCACAAAGTTGTCGCTGTTTTTAGAGTTTACAACAATAAAGTTACAAATAAAATCAAAGACGGAAACATAAACACCTAAATTTTCTAAATATTATTTGAATGAGTCAGAAAATGCTATAGTACAAGAAATCATAAATTAAACACGAAGATAATGACAAAAATAAAAGTGTTTCTTAAAAATCAGTTGAAATTCTTTATTTATTTCAAAATTGAAATTATTATCCTAAATTGTGCAAAGCAATAAATTAAATGAATATCAAAAATCAAGATGCTTAATATAAAGATATTCTTATCAAAAATTCATGTTGCAAATGAAATTATATCCATAATAACATATACTAATTCACAGCAATGCTAAAGGCAATTGTATATGATTGAGTTATATATATATATAACTCAACCATATACAATAAAATGTTTTTCTCTAGGCTAAATGCTTTAAATAAAGTTTGAAAATGCTATTAAATAAATTATCGTAGAACATTAAATAAAACTTTCATTTATTTCGAAAGTATTTTTTTTTAATGATGAATGTATAAATAATGAAGACAATTAATAAACCTTTTTAAAAAAATTCACATAGTTAATATAGTCAAAAACATTAGAAAGTTTTTTTTGTTGTTTTGTAAAAAACAACAAAAAAAACTTTTTAATTAAATGTTTTTATACACTATCTTAAAGGGGTTTAAAAAAATTTACAAATGATTGTTTTGAATAAAAAGCATGATATAAACAACATAAAAAAAATATTTTAATTAAAAAATTTTGTATGTTTTATTAATATATTAAAATACAATTTATGATTATTTTATGATTTTACGATTACAACAACGATTTAAAACAAATAGTGTCTACAATTAATTATTTTAAAGAATACAATAAATAAATATAGTTGAAAGTTTAACACATTTTTTTGAACAAACATAAATGAAAATAATTTAAATACACAAACTACTATACAAAAACTACTTGGAAAATTAAAAACTTTCTAAATAAAAAGTTCGTATAAAAGTATTCTTACCCAAAACTCACACCGACCTCAATGCTTGTAATTTACTCATCTTTGATAACTTTTAATTGTGTAAATGAAAATATTAAAACTTTTATCACGTTATAATATTTTTACTTTAGGCTTATTATTTGTTCTCTGGTACAAATAATGAGATAATGTTTCATTTTGAATTTTCTAGATTCTCGAAAAATTATGCCAATATTTGAAAGTAAATGTCAATATAATAAATAAGGAATGCACAGTTATGCTTTTATTGCATTATCTAATCTGTATTTTCATTAGAGTGAACTGTTATTTCAAAAATTGACTAAAAAATAATGCTTCTATATTATTATATATATTTTTTTAACATATACTGGTTTATATTATGTAAAAAATAAATCAAAGTTAAAAAAAGACTGATGTTTATTATTAAACGAATCATAATGAAAAATTATTATTTTTTAAACAATTTTGGGAAAAGTTGTGCGAAATCCTAAAATTTTCTTTTTGATTTTAAAATATCTTATTTAGGGCCTAACGAAGTCTCACAGTATGTGGATTTTCAATATAAAATTTTGACCCTCCTTATTATATATTTATAAATATACAAATGAAAAAAAATATATATATATATATATCAGGGCTCGAATTAACGTAAAAAAATCTAATTGCAAAAAAAAAAAAAAAATTTACCCCCTCCCCTATACCTTGCGCTGCTTTGCGGTAATAGGGGGGGGGGGGAGGAAAGTTGCGTTAGTATATAATTGTAAGTTTTGTACGTAATTGCTCTATTTTTAACATATTATCTCTCATGTTTAAATATAATCTTATGATTTTCTAGTTTAGCAGAATTTAAAATAGCCTAATTTATTGTTATTATTTACAACTTAAGTTATAACTTAAAGTTTAAGTTGCAGTTGTAATAATAACGTTTTTAATACTATTAAGATATTTCTATAAGTATATTTTTACTTACCATGATACTTAAAAAGGTAAAAGTAAAAAATTAAGAGAAAAAGCAACATTACAATATCTAAACCACTTTAATTAGTCAAAGAAAACTATTTAATACGTTTATGCTGACGTTAAAACACGTGTTAATTTAAAAAAGTATTTAATTGTTAAAAGCTATAAAACAACATTAAAACAAACTGCAAAGTTTTTTTAAAATTATATAGAGCTTGGAATAATGTAAAACAAATTCGTGAAGCTATTTCGTTTTGATTTATACAGTTTATAAAATAAAACGCGTTTAAAATAAAAAGAAGCAAACAAATAAAATTGAGCTAGTTGATAAACTAAAACAAAACTTCATATTTGCGCCTATAGACCTATACGAGTTTATAATCTATAGACCAAACGAGTAAGATCAAAGCAAAAAAACATTAGATACCACGTCTTTTATAAATTATCGTTTCCTGATCGAGCGTACTATTAAAAATTTAAGTATAATTAAGTTTTTCATTCAAAAGGTTTTTAAACTGATGTTTTTATTCAATTTTTTTTTTTATTCTAATTGTTTTCCAAAAAAAAGTGAAACGAAAAATTTTGTTTAATAAATTGAATTATATTAAGTTTTAGAATATTCTTGAACTATTTTTTTTCAAAAAAAAAATTTTCGAACAGAAGTAAAATAATTTATTAAATTTAATTTAAAATTTTTATAATTTTTATTTTAACTTGCAATTTGCAATCACTGCTTTAATGTTTGCAATAGAATGTTTCTACTTTTAAAACTATTTTCAAGAAAAAATATATAATTCAAAACGTTAACAAAATTTAAGATTTACGATAAAAAAACTTTCATCTTCATTCTCCCTTGTTTCATCAAACTTTTTTTAAATTTTTTTAAATTTCAAGTTTCAATCACAAAATTATTTGAATAAGTGAATTTTAAGTCTAAAGTTCTCTTGTTCAAATTGATTTCTTTTTTAAGAAAAATTCCTGAAAACAACTTGCATATTTATAGAAAATATTTAGTCTAGATGTCGCTATAAATAAAATGAAAATATAAAAAAATGGTGTCGCGTTTTTCATATTCTATTCAACAATTTTTGTTAAAATGATTATTAGCTAAAAGCTTATATTATGTTTTAACAACATGTAAGATCTAAATTGAAACATGTCGATGTCTTACTTTTGCGAGTATATTAAATAAATTAATATAATTGTTAAATTAATACTTGAGTAACTGTAAGTTACTATCTTAACTTAACTGGTTGTTTTGATTTAGGTTAAAAGTTATTTTACTGTGATATACTCTATCCATTCAGTAAAGTTAACTAAATATAACTTCATTAGTTCCAAGGTTGTTGAAAGCGAAAAATGTGAAAGCAAAAAAGTTGCTGGTTTCTATTAGTACAATTTTACTAATAGAAACCAGCAACTTTTATTTAAGCAAATTTTATTTAATAAAAGGGATTATATTTTATTATACTTAAAGTAGTAAAAAAGATTATATAAAATTGTTTAAGAAATAATAATTTAATTTATTATTAATAAGTTAATTTGGAGCAACGTTTTTTTTAAAAAAAGATAAAAATGCTGTTTCGTTAAAAAAAATTGAATGAAGAAAAATTTTTTCTTTTGTCTTTTTAATTTGCTCCTATGCAGAGATTTAAAGTAACTTAAATTAAAAAGTGCTTTACGTTGAATAAAAATCTCCGCGCAAAAGAGCAAATGATCATGCTTCTATTCTAAAAGACAAACTTTGCGTGACGTACTTTACTATGAAAACATTACTTTTTAAGAATTGCCAAAAAAAAAAGATAAATTAGAGAAAAAGTAAATAAACAACTAAAAAAGTAAACCAATCGCGAAAATATATGTTTTAAAAAAAAAAAAATCGCGAAAGTATAAAAAGCAATCGCGATTCGCGATCGCTATACGCTTAATTCGAGCCCTGTATATTTTATTGTAATATTCAAAGCTTATTTAACAATAATAATCCCAAAAAAGACTGCGCTTTCACTAAATCATTATATAATATAAGATCTTTATTTTTTTTGTGCATATTATCAAATAAATTATACGTTTTGAAAATCGAAAACCAAGAAAAGAAAAAAAAATGTTAGGATCATTGTTAACTAACAGGTTTTAAAAAAAAATAAATTATAAAAAATGTTGTATCTAATGTTTTTTTGCTTTGATGGTACTAGTTTGGTCTATAGATTATAGACTCGTATGGTCTATTGGCATGTTTTTGTGCAAATATGAAGTTTTAATTAATTAATTAGAACAATTTTATTTATTTGCTTTGTTTTATTTTAAATGCTTATTAAGTTATTTAGGTTATAAACTGTATAAAACTATAAAACAGTGTCACGAAGTTGTTTTACATCAATACAAGCTCTTTATATTTTTAAAACAACTTTGTAGTTTGTTTTATTGTTATTTTATAGCTTTTTACAATAACAATTAAATACTCTTTAAAAATAACACATGTTTTATCATCAACATGAACATATTAAATTTTTCTTTAGTTAGTCATAGAAAACTTTTCTATGACTAATTTAAGTGGTTTAAATATTGTAATGTTTGCTTTTTAATCAACCTTTTTACTTTTTTTAAGTATCATGTTAAGTAAAAGCAACTACTAAAAGTAATATCTTAATAGTATTACGATTCTTGCTCATTACACTATAACTGCAACTTAAACTTTAAATTATAACTTAAGCTGTAAATTATAACAGTAACTTACGCTATTTTAAGCTCTGCTAAACGAGAAAATTTTAAGATAATATTTAAATATGAGAGATAATATGTTAAAAAAATAACAATTATGTACAAAAGATACAATTTTATACTAATTTTTTTTTTTTTTCGCAATTAGATTTTTTTTGCATTAATTCGAGCCCTGAAGTTATTAATAATCAATTTAATGTTTATTATATTTTAAGTATCTTATTTAGTAATAGAATTTGTTGTTTTATTTGTTAAAACAATTTGTTATAAAAATAAAAATTTCTCATTTCCTTACATGACCTTATCTATTTATATATAATAAAGGTTACAAGAGAGACAAGAAGGATCACTTTAAATAGTGTTGAGATCAAATTGTTATCAGCAACTTTTGAGTCTGAGACTTTAGGTGCAAATATTTTCTTTCATTAATAAAATTTCAATTATTTTCTAATTAATTTTTTTCTTTAATGTTATGTTAAAAAACACAAAACCAAATCAGGTTAACTGATTTGGTTTTGTGTTTTTTAGCTGTTTCTAGTAATGATATTGTCTATAATACAACACTATTGTTTTATATGTTATTTAGCTGTTTCTAGCAATGATATTGTTTATAATACAGAAGATGAGACTGTGATTTTACACTTTCCACAAGCATTACCAATAGGTTTGGGTAATCTTTCTATATCATTTCTCGGGACTTTAAATGACAAGATGAAAGGATTTTATAGAAGCAAATATAAATCAAAGTCTGGGGAAGATAAATATTGTGCTGTTACTCAGTTTGAAGTTAGTAAAATGTTTATTATTTAAAATTATTTACTATTTATAACTAAAATTGTTCAAGTTTAATTTGTGATTATTCAGTTTCAAATAAGTAAATTAGTTAATAATTTAATAATTTATAGTTTGAGTTTTTAAGTTTTGATTTATTATTTTTGATTTCCTGAATTTACAAACCAGCGGTGGTCGATGCTAGGGCTGACTTTTTAATTTTAATAAAGAACCAAATCATTAAAATCCTTTTTTCGACCAACTACTTCATGTGAATATTTTAGAGCCAACTTCTCCATCATTGACTGTTGATTAAGACAAAGGATAGGTCTGACTCCTGCAACCCCAACCATTTTAAAAGATTTCATTTACAGCCAACTAATCAATTATACACATGAATTAAAAGCTTAGTTAACTTTTTTTTGCAACTTTTTCTTTGTCCATCTTTGTTCACTTTGATCCATTGTCCACAGGACAACAAGTAATTATTAAACGATTTAAGTCAAGTATACCATGACTTTGAATCAAAGAAAATTGAATATCTTGTTTACATTTGAGTGTTTTTGTTGTTGTTATGCAAAATAATATTATACTTTTGAAAAATAAAACTGGCTATTTTGTAGAATATTCTAGAGTTGCCATTTACTTTCTTACTAGCATCTGTGTAGTTTTGGAGTTAAAAAAGTGATATTTATAACTTTACATAAGAATACATAAGCAAGCCTTCCCAGGAAAGGCGTGCAGTTTTTTTGTCTTGTATGACCACACGCAAGTATTTATTTTTATTTTTAAAAAATAAAAATAAATTAAAATAGAAATAATTTAAATAATTTGTGTACTGTTTTTATTTTTGTTGGACTGGTTGTTACATTCAGCAACAAAATTAGAAAAGATGAAGCAAAAAAAAACACAACAGTTTTAAGTCTAAAATAAAAAGAATGACATTCTTTTATTTAACTTTTTTTTTTTTAAGAAGAAAGCAAAAATATAAATTGCAATATGTTTGTAAAATATATTTGTATATATTTTTAATGTAACAATAAGGGTTGAATTAAGCGATTGCAAAATGCAAAGTCTGGAAAAATATCTGCTATTCAAAATTTTATTTAAAGCTGAATGCAAAATTTTAATGCAAAACTGTGTACTTTGTTTTTAAGGGACGAATCAAATTAAATTTGTTAGCAAAAAAGTTATAAAAAATAAAACAATAAACTTACGATTACAAAAGTAATAACACTCTAGTCACTAACTGCATTATAAAAATTATAACACTATAATAGTATTATTACTTTTATAACGCACTTATAACTTTTATAATTCATTCTTTGTTAAATCAACATAAGTAATCACAAATTTTAATTGAAGTAGAAAAGCATCTAAAAAAATAGAGTGGATATTCAAATATTTAAAACTTAAGTAACTTAAAAAAACGTGACAAACAACTTTATAAAAACGTAATGTATAAAAGTTTAGCATTATGAAAAACGTTACTAATGGTCCGTAAAAACACACGTTAATTTTGAAATCAACCAATTTTTATTGGTTGATTTTAAAATTAAAAAGTTATTTAAAAATATAAAGTTGTTTAAGCGATTTGTAAAAGTTCCTGAAATTTTTAATTATATTTGAATATCCACTTTATTTTTACTAGATGCTTTTCTACTTTAATTAATGTCTGGAATTACTAATGTTGTTTCAACAAAGAATGAACTTTAAAAGTAATAAGCGCTTTATAAAAGTAATAACACTATTATAGATTTATTACTTTTATAATGCAGTTAGTGACTAAAGTGTTATTATTTTTGTAGTTGTAAGTTTATTGTTTTGTTTTATTTTTTTATAACTTTCTCGCTAATAAACTTATAATAATTTGCTGCTTGAAAACAAAGTGCACAGCTTTGCATAAACTAAAATTTTGAAGACCAGATATTTTTCCAGAGTTTGCAAATCGCGATCGTTTAATTCAACCTATGATATATACTTGTAACATTAAAATTATACAAATATATTTTACAAAAATATGATAAGACATATTTTCGCTTTTCTCTTTAAAAAATAAAAAATAAAAGAAAAGAAAGTCATCCTTTTTAATGTTTAAAACTTTTTTTTTTTTTTTTTTTTTTTTTGCTTTGTCAAAAATAATGTTGTGTACCGATCAGGTAATTATGCCTATGTCAAGAACAAAACAAAAGCCAATGGACCAATGTAAGCAGTGTCTGTAAAGGTAGTGCAAAAATAGACTTTGCTAGCAACCTGTTAGGTACCATCACATCTCATTCATGTGGTTTTTCTGGTCATCACTCTAAATACCTAACAGCCCAACAGAAGATGCCTGAAGCTGCCTCAACTACCCAACAGTCTCTCAAGCAAATTTTCCAAGATATTATTTTAAACTCATCACTTCATGTGCAACAGTCTCTTACATATGCTCAAGTTTTTCAGGTACATCAATTACTTTTATGGCCTTCTTTTTATCTTCACACAGTAATTTAAAAACACTTAAAATTTGGCCAATATACAGTTTTTTGAGTAGCGCAACTTAAATAATGTTATTAGCTAACTATTTTCTACAGGTTAGAGGTCGGCATCAGGACCCTAATTCTGAGGGCTGTATATATATATATATATATATATATATATATATATATATATATATATATATATATATATATATATATATATATATATATATATATATATATATACATATATATATATATATATATATATATATATATATATATATATATATATATGTATATATGTATATATATATATATATATACATATATATATATATACATATATATATATATATATATATATAATATATATATATATATATATATATATATATATATATATATATATATATATTTATATAATAATTCTTACAACGCCCTATTATTCTTTAAAAAAGGATATATTTGATCCTTTTTTAAAGATGTATAGTCTTCTTTCGTTGTCTACCTTTTTTACATCATAGAGCAAATTTTCAGCAGTTTTAAATAAATATTTTCAAAAAAATTAATTTTTGCCTAATTTTAAGTGATTCCTGTGTAACTAGACAATACCTATTAGTTTTTTTCTTATTTTCAGTTGCAGAAGCCATTTTTATTAATGCTACGTTCAAAGTGGTGCCAACATTTTTTATGGTGGACAATTACTCAACCTTTTAGCAGAAGTACAAGGGGTAGCTTTGACAATTTTGTCATATTTTCATGTCTGGCAAAAAGCAGGGATTGTGTATTGCTTCACTTGAAAAATTAAAAGAACTTGTACCTGTTTTTGTACCTTAAATTGGAATGTCTGATTTTGAAAAAGCAATAGGAAATGCATTATCATTTTGTTTTCCTGAAATTAAATAAACTGGTTGACAGTTCCAACTCAAGAACTTCTAATTGATAGTCTTTGTTAAGTTTGTTGTGTACAGAGACTTGTAGTTTTAATTTTACAATGCAGACATAAGAGACACACCATATCATAATTTCTATGGGCACAGATAAATAGTGTCCAATTTGTAAAACTGAAATAATTGACTTAATTAATGTTATTAATTAAGTCAATTATTAAAATATTAATGTTTTTTATTAAGAATTCTTCCTCAATTGAAAAATGCTCATCACAAAATCCGAATCACAAAATATTTTAACTTCTACTACTTGTACGAAGTAACTCATCATCACTGAAATTAATGATTTATTTGCATTTTTTTTTTTTAATTTCATACAAAAAATTATTATTCTAGTTTATCTATATTTTTTTCAGTTGGTTTTAATTGATTTTTTAATAGTCATTTGTAAATGAATTTTTCACTACTTGGTTCTAAATGAATATTTTATTAGTCGATTGTAACTGAAATTTTAATCAATCTATCCTGAACAAGTCGACTCTAATAAGGTTGGTGAATTTATTACGAATGCAGATAGTAGTCGGTCCTAGCATGTGACACGAAAACAGGTAATTGAAATCAGTATAAATTGTTTCTATGAGTGTAATGTATGTATATGTATGTATGTATTAGGGTGGTCCAAAATTATAAATTATTGAAATTCATTTCTCCACAAGGTCACCTTTGTTCCTATTAATATTTGCAATATTGTAGCCAAATTTAAAGCAAATCTGATAATATTTAGGAGTTGCTATAAATTTTGACTTTTTGAACACTATGATAAAAAATCAAAAAATTTAAGTCTTCACTATTATTTAATATCAAATTTAAAAATTAAAGAAACTAACAATTTAAATCAGGTAAATATGAATACTTGCAAAGTATCTAAATTAATATAGATCATCTGATCAATTTTCATTCAAGTATTTCAATGTATCATAATTTGTAAACAAAAATGTAATATCAAGCAAGAATATTGTGAATATGTTGAAAAATGTATGTTTATTAATCAACAACTTTGTAGTCTTTTGGCAACATGGCTGCCTTGGATGAAGTAGGTTATAGCTGGCGGTGATGTTGAACAAAACTAAGTAGGAACTGCTTTTGTTCTCCATCCTTTGTAATCGATTCGTTGTACTCTCCAATTAATACAATTCCAAGTTCTGCGCTGTCATTAGCAACTTTCATTCTTTGGACTCTCTCTGCCAACTTCTGATATGTTTCATTTTCTTCTAAAAATTTAGGATCTTTTGAAATGAAGTTTTTAGCCTCTTCTCTACCTGTACTGCTCAACAACTTGAATAAACTATAGGTTCTCATAGTCACAAATGTCTCTAGTCTGTTGAAGTTGGTATTCTTGGGATCTACTATCTTCAGTGTTAGAGTTGTTTTAGGCAGTTGGAGGTTAACTACCATGGCCCTCTTCACATCCAGATCAACCCAACTATCAAAAAATGCCAGACCTGTAAGAAGTTCTGAAAAGAACCAAAGGTGTCGAGAAAATGCAGTAAAAGCTCCAACTGCGATTGTGTGGTTCGGATGCTTTTGAAACTGTTTCAGCATTTGAGCATCATTAAACGGAGCATTTGCAGCCAGCGGAGCTTGGTGCCTAAAACGTCCATAA